CTGGCTGGGGAATTCTGGGAGTTGAAGTCCACACCTCTTAAAGTTGCCAAGGTTGAGAAACTCTGCTTTAGAGATTCGGACGGAAGAGGCAGATGCACTTCTGGCAAAGTGTTGTGTCTCAGGGAAGACAGGGTCTGTATGCTTTGGTTTCAGAAGGGTGCGGAAGAAAAAAAGGATGCGTTCATGCCTGCAAATAAAACAAGGCACGTGAGCCGGGGATCTCTGCAGAAGGAGGTCAAAAAAGTCAAGACGGCAGGCATGCCCAGGCAATCGAAGCCTCATCCTTTTGGATACGCAGGCTGTGATCACACGGGTCTGCCTGCCATCGAGACGTTTTTGAATCCCCTCCCTGCTAACCCTCCAGATCTCAGCCAGTTTGGTGTATTGTATTGTATTCAGGTACAAGAAGTTAAATTCAGTCGCCAGGTTATCCAGAGTCCTTGGGAATCGGGCAGCATATAAATTTAATAAATTATTATCATCATCATCATCATCATCATCACCCATTTGACCAAGTCATGGCGAATGAGTGATTTCTGGAGCAGGAGGGAACGATATACAGGTCAGCTCCCTCAATGTTAAGCTGGGCTCACAATTCATGCTTAATCCTGATTTCGCTTAACCATGGTTTATTCGATTAACCACATTTTTCCGATTTCTCAAAGCACCCTGAGCCAGAAACAAGCACGCAACCCTCTAGGCTAAAACATGGTGGCAGTTTGTGGTTCAGGGTGTCTGCGGCAAAACCGCTCCCAAACCTGTTTTTTTTTCATTAACCTTTTCCACCATGTCAGCAGCCACTTCCCCTTGGGGGGGTTTGATGGAAAAAAGCATTTCCTGACTCAAATTGGCTTCGTTTACTCCCAGTGGACCCCAAGGGAGCCTCTTACCCTGTGTCTCATTAGCTGTGATTTTTTTTTAAGCGCACAACCGGTGACATTTGGAGATCAGATGTGTGCAGCCTTACGACAACACAAAGGATTTGGTCCCCGACTGAAATAAGTGTTCTTGATGGATCCGGATTGACAGACCCGGGCATAGGATTACCTTCAAGAGGAAAAACAAGGAATGGCAGAGTTTAGCGAAGGGGGAACGTTGAACCGGCCATCAAAGGCAAGAGGGACCTAGAATAAGATTTATTTTTCTCATTTTCATTCTGTAGATGACGTTTTGCCCGAAAATCTGCCAGTGCCTTTACTGACGAACACGTTTTAATCAAAGGCATCGGCTTTTGTGAATTGCAGCTTGCTTCATCAGGTGCATAGAGTTGCTAGACCAGTGTTTCTCAACCTTGGCAGCTTGAAGATGGCTGGACTTCAACTCCCAGAATTCC